CTACTACTACTACTACTACTACTACAACTTCAACAACTACTACTACTACAAAAACTACTAAAACTGATTTAACAATATTAACAAACATATTATATACTATTGAATCAACAACAACTGCAACAATATCATTATTGACTAGAACCACAACAACAACAACAAAATCTATAACAACCACAACGCCAGTATCTACCATAAAAACAACAACAACAATATTAAAAATTTCAACAAAAACATCACATACTACTGATTCAATGTCTGAAACAACAACAACAACATCATCATCATTACCAACAACAATATTATTAACTACTATAACAACATCATCATTATCATCAACAACAACAACATCATCATTATCATCATCGTCGTCAACATCGTCACAAACAGCATCAACATTGACAAAAGAATTGTCAACAAAAACATCATCATCATCATCCTTAACAACAACAACATCACTATCAACAACAACAGCAAAAGCAACATCACCATCAACAACAACAACAACAACATTATATTTAAAATCGTACGGATACACACTACGATTTACCAACATTATGTTCGAAGACAACTTAGCCATCAATACAACGAAAGAATATAAGAATTTGTCCGTGTTGTTGTACAATCAGGTTGTTGTTGTTGTTGCTGCTGCTGTTGCTATTGTTGTTGTTGTTGTTGTTGCTGTTGTTGTTGTTGATGATGTTGCTAAACGATGATAACATTTTTATTTGTTTCATTATTAACGATGACAAAACATCGACAAATTTTTACTACCATCCAGCTAATGTCCAGTTTCCGACGAATGCATTACCTGACTCCATCACTGCCACCATCATCTTCTTCATCACCATCAACTACATCTTCATCAGCGTTTGAATCATCTCTACATTCATCATCTGCAGTAGCGTCATCAATGATCAAGCAACCATTTGAAGTAACACAGCAGCAACAACTACAACTACAACAACAACTGCAACAACAGCAGCAACTACAACAACTACAACAACAACAACTAACATTCATAGATATAGCTAAACAACTAAACGGTTTTACGTACACCAATGGTAGCATCATATCAACATTTGACATACTGCTTTCAAATGACTCAACTATCAATCCTTATAGTTCTAATTTCACCGATCAACTCTACAAATTTATGGATGAAAACATCTTATTCAAGTTGGACCATGCATTCATGCTAAGCTGCAATAATACTAGAAATATTAAGGAACTTGAAACCACTTGTAAGTTTTTTATTTTACAGTTTAAAATGTAAGTTGTAGCAGTAGTGGTAAAAGTGGTAGTAGTAGTAGTAGTAGTGGTAATAGTAGTGGCAATGGCAATAGAAGCAAAATACTACATTACAAAATTTGCTTGGCAACATTTATAGAATTGTAAAAAAATGAATCAATTCGTTTGTTGATAAGTGATTTTTCATTTTAATGTCATCTTTCATTTTATTATTACGATTTTCATCATCATCGTCATCATCATCATCATCATTTGTAGCATCACAATCATCACCAACGTCTACCAGGTACGAGTACAACAACAACGACGACACCTGTACCTTTAATTGAAGTCCTGGCCCAGTCGAGAAGCGGTCTAATAGTCGGTTGCGCGCTTGGCTCGGTCGCAACATTTCTAATCATAACCGCGATCCTAATCTACCGGATCCGGCAGAGATCAAAGGCCAGACAGAATAGGGATGTGAACAGAAAGAGCAACAGCCAGCCACAACATTATGGAAGCCACCGCTCGCCTAACAGCTTAATAGGCACAACTAACTCCATGGCCGGTACGCTGGTCTGGCGGGGTAATGATACAATAACGTCAGTTAAGTCGTTTGCTGGCAGTAGTAGTAATAGTTACTATGGAGATAGTAAGTATTATAGGAGGGGTAGGAATGAAGAGAGAAGGAGGTTCAATAGTGAGAGGTTGAGTGATGGTAATGATGACGGTGGTAATGATGGCGATGATCGTCGTCGTCTTAGTAGTAGAAGTGTGGTTAACTCAGTGAGTGAAGTTGATGAAGATGGTGAAATAAACAGTTACTACAACAACAACAACAACAACAACAACAACCACAACAACAGCAACAATAACAATGATGATGATGATTACAATAGTGATGATGATGTTGAAGGAAACAATGTGGTGTCGCTATATAGAACAAACAACAACATCATCATTCACAACAACAACAACAAAAACAACAACAAAAACAGCAACAACAACAAAAACAACAGCAACAACAACATCAACGACATCGACGATAACATCCGAGATTTTCTACCGATCGTAATCGGCGATCGGTCCGTCGTACCGACACCGACAAACCGAAGCGGAACGTCCAGCCAGAGCAGTCGGATATTTAACGCGATTCAAAGAAGTTTCCGAAACTTCATTGATAAAAATCGTAAAACCATCGGTACAGTTAGATCGCGGCGTAGTAGCTTCAGTAGCGACAGCACCACAATAAGAATCAGAAGTGAAAAACTATTAAAGGAAAATTCGCGATTCTTGCGACAGTCTTTTAACGAGGCGAACTCGAATGAAAGTATTCGCCCGAATATTCGAGGAGCTGCTGCTCTCTCGAGTGGTGTCGAGATGAGGAATTTAAACTTTAACCGGAGCTTGAACGGTAACACGCTGAATATTGGCAGTAATTTGAGTGGCAAAAAACATTATAAACGTAATAATAATATTATTAACAACAATAGCAGCAAAAACTTCAAGGTTAACAACAACAACAACAACAACAAAAACTTCAAGGTTAACAACAACAACAACAATAACAATAATAATAATAATAATAATAATAATAATAATAATAATAGGAAAAGATCAAAAATTAAACACGACAACAACGACAACAGAAATGACGTCACCATCATCAACAACAACAACAACAACAAAGATAGTTTTGGCCATAGCAGCTTACATAGACGCCGAAATCCCATTTACAAAAGTTTCAACTTACAAACTCTAGGAGTACAATTACGCGACAACTACTCAACATATGCTAGTAGCGTTGCCAGCCACAACATCATCAACAACAACAACAGGATCAACAACATTGGCAGCAGCAACAACAACAACACCAATAACATTAAGACCAATGATAATTTTAATAGGACACCTTTAGGAATTTTCAACAGTTTCAGCAACAACATCCCGAATTACACTAACAGCAACAAAAATAATATATTTGTCGTGGCTGATGTGCATAACACTCAACACCAACATCAACAACAACATCAACTACAACATCAACAACATCAACATCATCAACAACAACATCAACAACAGCCACATCAACAAAGCCCATCGTCATTATCATCGTCGTCATCGTCAGTTTTCATATTTCGTCACAATCCAAATATACGCGAAATCGTTGATCGCCGAGCCGACGATGACGTCATCAATTTCGACAACGTCATCAATGTTGACGACAGGAAGCACGCAAAACCTTTCAACAACAACTCAACAAAACTATCCAACAACATCAACGATGACAACAATCTTAATGAAAGTAATAGAAGTAACATTAGCGAAATCGTTCAAGATAATTCTACAACTATTATCGGCTATAACGCGACAACAACAGCTGCAACAGCAGCAACAGCAGCAGCCACACCAGCTGCACCTGCAGCACCAGCTGCAGCGGCTAACCAAACAACATCAACAAACATCGAAGAAACAGAAATAGATATAACGGTAATTGTATAAAATTGATCAATCAATCAAAACTCATTGATATTAATTTATGATAATTAGCTAATTAACATAAAACCCTTTATAAATATTCACATACTATAACTTTTTTCCTTTAAGGTGCTGCACTCAATAGAAGACTTGGTCGCTGAGCCAATCAGAAACAAGGTCCAGAAAGATGACCTTCATAGGGTAGAAGCGACAGCCAATAAGAACGAAGCAGGTTATCGTCGTTACCCCATTGGTAGCAAAATGTCGGAAGCAGTTTTGAAAAAGCTGAACAAAAGACTAAAATCTAAAAAGGTATTTCTATTAAAAATGAAAATATTTATGATCTTTTTTTGGGGCCAATATAAATTTTTTTTTTTTTAAATTTCAGGTACCGCAAAAACAGAGCAAGGTTTGAGTTAGTTACGTAGTTGGTTAGTTAATTAGTGGATAGATTGAAAAAATAAATAAGAAAGAATGAATGAATGAACGAACGAATGAATGAAGCAACAAATATCGTCGGTTCTATTTTTTGGGAATATTTTTATTTATTCATTTTATTCATTTGGTAGACAATTTCGAGAATTCAATTTGTAAAAAAATACAAGAAAATCTTAATAAATAATCGAGTTAACATTTTATTTTTAGATAAAAAATTATATAAATAAATGAATGAACGAATGAATGAATTAAGGAATAAACGAATGAATGACGGACGGATGGATGAATAAATATAATATAAATAAACAAATGAATGAAAACTAGGTCTACCTAAATTGAATGAGAAAAACCATCATTGTTTAAGCACTCCGACACTTCTATAAAATAATAAAATAACAACAACAACAACAACAATAATAATGATATTTATAATAATATTAATACAATAATAATAAAATAACAATAGTGTTATCATCATTTTATGTATCACAATTAATTCATTCTCTGCGGAAAATATTTAAATACTTTCAATACTTTAAATACTTTCAAAAGGATGGATATATATATATATAGTTATACATATAGGTATAAAGATATATATAAATCTATATACCCACATATATATATGCTGTAAGCTAAATCAAACATCAATATAATGAACGACATATATATATATATATATATATATATATATATATTTATATATATATACATATATATATATATATACGTGTGTGCGTACGTGTGTGTGCGTGAGTGTATGTGTGAGTCATCTATAACCTAGGCACAAAAAAATTAATTTTTTTACATTTCCAATTTTTTTCTCCTTCATTTTATCAATTACCCACCGTGTTTTCTGTCAACGCCTTCTAAGATGGAATAATCATTAGCGTTATTATAGCTACAGAAACAATTAATAATTAATTATACGTCATAAATAAATAAATTAATTAACTAATTGACTAATTAATTGATTAATTAACAATCGAAGTTAACAGTCTCCGTAATAGAGGTAACTCTGCTCCGCGCGACCATCTGAAAAAGTTTTTTAATTTGGTTTTAAAAATTTCGTTGGAGTGAGAGAAAGAGAGAGAGCATAATTATTATAATAATAATTATTATAATAATAATTATTATTATAATACTATTCCCTTGAGGCTGCTAGATCATTCTTTTAATATTACTGATTCTTGTCTATCTTGGTTTTCTTCTTATCTCTGTAACCGTTTTTCCTCTGTTGTTCTCAATAATTCTACTTCTAACTCCTCTACCCTTACTTTTGGGGTACCTCAGGGTTCTATTCTTGGCCATCTTCTATTTATACTCTATACTTCTGAACTACCTCGTATTAATAATAACTTGTTTTTATTAGTCAACTATATGCTGATGATTCTTGTATTTATATTCCTCCATCTAATCTCAATAATGTTCTTCATAATCTATCTCTACGTCTTTCTTCAAATATCGCTTCGTCTGACTCTATGTTTCTTAAAGTTAATCCTTTTAAATTTGAATTAATTTGTTATAATAAATCTAAATACTCCATTATTATTCTTCATATTATGATAACTTACCTTATTCTAAAACTCTTGATGTTTCTCACAAGTTTCGTAGTGTAGGCTTTATCTTTGATTCTAGCATGTCTCTTTCTTCTCAGATTAATAGTGTGGCTAAAAGTTCTTACTTTCATCTACGTAGAATAAAAAACTTATGCATTTTCTTGACAATCCTATTCTTCTCCTTCTTGTTACTTCGTTAATCTTATCTAGGATTGGTTATTGTAACTCGCTCTACTATGGCCTTCCTGATTCTACACTCTATCCTTTAAGTAAAGCTATTAACTCTGCTGCTCGTTTAGTTGCTCGTGCCCCTTTCTTTTCTCATATATCTCCATATCTTGTTCTCTTGCACTGGCTACCTATAAAATATAGAATAATTTTTAAAATTTGCACGTTCATGTATAAGTCTCAATCTAAATTATTTCCTAAGTACTTATCAGATACATTAATTGAACCTAAACGCCCCTGTTTACGATCGTCTTCTTGTTCTCACTTCTTCTTAACACGAGTTAAACAAACACTCTCTTGCTAAATCTGCATTTGCTTTTTCTGGCCCTTTTCTCTGGAACTCTCTACCTCCTTCTCTGACTACTTCTCCATCACTTACGAAGTTCAGAGCGCATCTCAAGACCCATCTATTTGCAAAATTCATTGAGGAGCGCTGTTGAATATCGCAGAAATAGCGCTTTGTAAGCTAATTAATTGATTGATTGACAAAGAGAGAGAGAGAGAGAGAGAAAAAAAGAAAGAGAGAGAAAGAAAGAGAGAGAAGCAGAACGAGAGATAGAGAGAGAGACAGAATGGAAGTTAATAAATAACGAAATTGTAGTATAAGTTATAAAACTGACCACCGCCATCGTCGTCCTCCTCGCCTTCATCCTCATTATAATAATATGACGTCAGACGATGAGCTTCACGCTGATTGGCTGACGGTTCTCTGACGTAATCCTGAGCGTTCTGAAGCTCGCCCCATGTTACGGGCTGACGATGGTGAAGATAACAACGAAGAAGAAGATGAAATGAATATGACAATGATAACGATGAAAATGATAATAAACGATTGAGAATGATGAAAAGAGAGGGTGTGAGTTGTGAAAATGGAGGATGAGTGTGGTCATCATAATTCCACTCACCTGCGTCTGATAACGATTGCCACCACGGCGAGCATCTCTTCTTCTTCCTCCTTCCAACCCGGAAGCTGATGCCGAGGCTTGCTTTTCTGCTTGCATCATTTCCGGAGAGAAAAGTTTCAATTTCTCTGTGAGACTTAATCTTGGGACGGAGTGTGGGATGAATGAATGACGGAGGGGAAGAAAGAAAATGAATGAATGAATAGATGAATGGATGAATGAACGAATGAATGAACGAACGATCGAACGAACAAACGAACGAACGAGTGAAAAAATGTTACTTAGTCAGTTCATCTCCAGTTCCGTAACCTTCAACACTCCCTTTACGTGCTGTCGGTTGATCGGAAATTTGTTGTTGTTGTTGATGTTCATGTTGCCAAACAACACCGCTACCGCTAGCATTAACATTATAACCTGCAGTTGTTGATGTCATTGTCGTTGTTGATGTTGTTGTTGTTGTTGTTTGATGCGGTTGTGGTATCAATAGTTGCTTCAAGAGCTTTTGTTCGATGACTGCATCCCATTTGCTTATTTTGTCGATTACAGATGCTCCGCCTACTAATTCGGCGTCTGATTCAGCGTTTGTTTCTTGTGATTGTGGCTGTTGTGGTAGTGGTAGTTGCGGTTGTTTTTGATAATATGTTAATTGTTGTTGTTGTTGCTGCTGCTGATAGCATGGTAATTGTGGTTGCTGTTGTTGAAATTGATGTGGTTGACAATATGGCTGTTGTTGTTGAATAAATTGTTGTTGTGTTTGAAGAAATTGTTGATGTGTTTGAGGAAATTGTTGTTGTTGTTGAGAAAATTGTTGTTGTTGTTGTTGAAGTTGTGGTTGTGGTAATAGTGGTAGTTGTGGCAGTAGTGGTAGTTGTGGTTGCTGTAAAGTTTCTTCAACACTTTCATTTTGTTTGGCCGCAAGAATCTGTTGGTAGTTTATCTCGACGAGTTTATCGAATTCATCGTCGCTATCCAGCCTTCTATATAAACTTCTTTTTTGTTGTTGTTGTTGTTGATGCGATGTCGTTAATGTTGTCACAATTTTGTTACGTTGTGTGGTTGTAGTGATGTTGGTCTGTGATGATGATTGTTGTTTTCTGAGCGTTATGTTCTGTGGCGGAAGTTTAGAGGAATATAATTGTTGTTGTTGTTGCAGTTGATGTAATTGTTGCTGTTGTTGTTGTTGACGTAATTGTTGCTGTTGTTGTTGTTGATGTAATTGTTGCTGTTGTTGCTGTTGATGCAATTGTTGTTGTTGGCGAAATTCATTTCCACTGCAGGTTTTGTTGGACTCGCTCAAGGCAAAGTTGAAATATGGCGTTGAGGTTATTGCTGTTGATGTCGTTGGAGGTGAAAATTGTTGTTGTGGGAATATTTGCAGCGGGAAACGTTGAAATTGCGGTTGTTGTTGTAGTAGTAGTTGTGGTTGTTGTTGTTGTTGATAATCGAAATTTTCACTAATCTCTCTTGATCTTGGCTGTCTGAAATGTTGTTGTTGAAATTGTTGCTGTTGTTGAAACTGTTGCTGTTGAAGTTGTTGCGAATAATGTTGTTGTTTTAAATATTGTTGAGTTGGTTGTTGTTGAGGTTGTTGTTGTTGACGGGCACGCAATGATGACGACGACGACGATGATGTCATAGGATTGGGTGACAAATCATTACTTTGAAGTAATGGTTGTTGTGGTTTTGGCTGCGACTGTTGCAGTTGCTGTTTCTGTCGCTGCTTCAACAACTGCAACTGCTGTTGTCGTTGCTGTGCTTGCTTCAACAATTGTTCTTTTTGCTGTTGCTTCTCTTGTTCGTCGCAGGCCTTATCTTTCAACTTATTAAAAAACTGGTTGCCGACGAGTTTCTCCATATTTTTGATCCTTTCAGACATCGGAACTTTCTCGCTCTCATCATCAGCGTCAGCAGCAGCAGCAGCAGCAGTAGCTACTTCCGCCAAATTTTGCACCCGCTCATCATCGCTAGGAGAGAATCTTTGCTTTCGAGATTTCAACAGAGCCACTAAATCTGGATCAGCTCCGAATTTAGCCGCCGAAGCGGCAACTCCAATGTCGATTGTTTTTCTCTTTTCCAAGAGAGGTTTCGGCTTTCTGATTGGCCGTGGCGAGTGGCTGGGCGGAGTCGGAGATGTTGATGGATGTAAAAGAGTGGATTCTAATTGGCTGAGCTGTTCTTTAACGTGACTTCCGCTTTCCATGCTAGCGCCTCTCAAATGGAGAGCCTTCTTTTTGTTTTTTAGTTCGCTAGCAATGGCGTCGTGTTTTTCAAGAGCTGTCATGACGCGGTTAATTTTGGAGCCAATTTGTTGTGGCTGGGGTTGTTGTTGTTGCTGCTGCTGTTGTTGTTGCTGCTGTTGTTGCAGATAATATTGGTAAGGCTGCGGTGATTTTGATAATCTTTGTTGTTGTTGTTGTTGTTGTTGTTGTTGTTTTTGCGGAGATGGCGAGAGTTGTTGTTTTTCATTTTCTACTGCTGGTTTCATATCCAGTTTTAAATTTGTTGTTGGGTCTTTTTGCTGTTGCTGTTGTTGTAGTTGTAATGGTTCCTTCAATTGTTGTTGTTGGTGCATTAGATGCTGTTGCATAAACTGTTGTTGTCGTTGTTGTAGCTGAGACAAACTTTGTTGCTGTTGTTGTTGCTGCTGTTGCTGTTGTGGTTGTTGTTGAATTGTATTTACATCAATTTTAACAGCTGAACTTAAGCTATAATCATCTTCTTCCAGTGTATCATCATCTTCATCGTCGTCGTCGTCATCATCGTCCACAAAATCATCTATATCATCGTCAGTGTCGTCATCAGCAACCACAATTGCGGCTGTAGTAACAATTTCAGAAGTAGTAGTAGTAACTGAAGTAGCAGCAGCAGTAGTAGTAGCAGCAGTAGCAGTAGAAGCAGTAGTAGCAGTATACGCATCTTCAGTAAAAGAAACTTCATCTATGGCAATTTTTTCCGTATCAAATTTCGTTACAGTGTCGGTTAAATCATCTTTTTTATCTTCAACATTATTGGCGTCATCACCATTTTTATTAATAGTAATATCATCAGTAGTAGTAGCAGCAGCTGTAGCAGCTGTAGCAGCTGCAGTAGCAGCAGTCGTTGTTGGTATTATAGATGGCTGTGATATCATTTTCTGGCTTTCATATATTAAGTCTGGCAAATTGTAATGTTGTTGCTGATGTTGAAATATTTCATGTTGTTGTTGTAATTGTTGTGATTGCTGTTGCTGTTGTTGGCCTTGTTTCAAACCAACATTTGTTGAAGTAGTAGAAACCGTGGTAAGAATAGTAGCAGCAATTGCAATAGCAGCAGTTGCAGTAGCAGCAGTTGATGTTGTTGTCGTAATTTCAAACAGTTTAGTATCAGTTTTTGTAGTAGCAATAATTGCATCACTTGTAGTACTAGATGATGTTTCTTTAGTAGAATTTATATCACTGACAATCACAGAAGTAGTAGTAGTAGCAGCAGCAGCAGAAGTAGTAGTGAAAGCTACAGTAGTAGTAGTAAAAGTAGCGGCTGCAGTAGCAATAGCAGCAGTAACAGTAGTAGTAGTAGTAGCAGATTCGATAGACTGTTTTGTGTTTGTGATGATGTTGACCGTGGAAGATTTTGCTGTGGCCAACATTGGTTTTGTTAAACTTCCAAAAGTTAGCTTTGTTGATTTTTGTTGAGTCAACATTAAAGGTTGTTGCTGTGGTTGTGGTTGTTGTTGCTGTTGTGGTAGTTGTGGTTGCTGTTGTGGTAGTTGTGGTTGCTGCTGTGGTAGTTGTGGTTGCTGCTGTGGTAGTTGTGGTTGCTGCTGTGGTAATTGTGGTTGCTGCTGTGGTTGCTGTAGTAGTTGCTGCTGTGGCTGTTGCTGCTGCCGTGATGGTTGCTGCTGCTGCTGTGGTGGTTGTGGTTGCTGTTGTGGTAGTTGTGGTTGCTGCTGTGGCTGTTGCTGCTGTGGTGGTTGCTGCTGTAGTTGTGGCTGCTGTTGTGATGGTGGCTGCTGTTGTGATGGTTGAGTTGCCTATTAAACGACTTCAAATTTGAAAAAGTTATTTTAGGACCGTGCATGAAAGTAGATGGTTTCGTTGTTGTTGCCGCAAAAAGTTGTTGTTGTTGTTGCTGTTGCTGTTGTTGCAGCATCTGTTGCGGCATCTGTTGTTGTAA